TAACTGTCATATATATAAATCCACCTCGTCGAAACAACAGAATCGGCAACTAAGCATGTCGCACCTGTCAATTGCCTCCCTAACCACTTTATCCTCGCCCCTAGAAATCGACGAGCCCGAGTTAACCCCTTAAACTATATTCTCCCTTACGTATAACGTGTGTAGTGCCAGGAATTGCTACACACTTTGTACATAAGGGCCGATACTAGATGTCCACTAGCGTTCGACATTTTTTCATAGTTAAGCCAATAACTCATCGACGCATAAACATAAAAATATAATTTTTTGACTGATGGATAGCTTCATATCAAAGATACAACACCTGCTATTTGGTTTCTTGAAAATCAAACTGTTGAGCCCTCCGGAGAGTTACCGCGCGTTGTCCCAGCTGTTCGACAATTTTTCCGACCGTCCGTCACACATTGTCACACGCCGCCGCCATGCCGTTTTTGCATTCCGCATGATTAAGATCTTGAAGTCATAAATGGATTCGAAGTTAGGTATATACCAGCGTACTATCTGCAGTGCGATAAGTATCGTGATTTACTAGCAGGAATAATGGTAAGGTGGATGAACTATGTTGTGATTAGGATAATGTGTATGATAAATTAATAATGTGTGCCAGGTAAATTGTCCTTGGGAGTGAATGGTTGATGCTGGTATCCATGACTCGGAACTCGGATCCCTCATTGGGGAATCGGGGTAGCAAATGATGATGCTGGCCAGCCCGTTGAAGACTCGGAGTCGTTCAGTCGAGTCGTCGACGACGGACTGCAGAACGCTCGAGTGAATCAGCTGGTGCTGTGTTCTCGTCCATTGTGCAAGTTTTGTGCATGCGTTTCTGTCCACGCGTGACGCGGCTGTACAGGCCGGCAAATCTTGGATCGTCCTTCAGCTGGGAATGGCCGTCAAGTGTGTTTGAATCAGTGCAACTCGCTTCACGAAGAGTACTCCTTGGAACACCATAGTAAGCTGCTGTTCTCCAGATGTTAGGTATGTTGCCAGCTTGTTGATCTTCCCAAAGCTTTGTGCA